TCTTAAGGATGTGTCTCTATATTCATTTTGTAAGTTAACTTACTTTTATATAATTTAACAACGTTAAATTATGCGTAGGTAGAATCAGCTAAAAAAAGATCTGTATAAGGTGTACCAGAACTTTTTTATAATGAAAATGAATTTTGGTGAACTAAAATCAACGTCTATATTTGTATTTGTTAAAAAAATTTAGGCTTTACAGTTGAAATTATCTTATTTTTTATCGATTTCGATTCAAAACTCTCAAATCTACAAATCGAACTTGTTTAATCACTCCTCATTTGTGAAATACAGAGGCTATAAGTGGAGTACCTCAGGGAAGTAATTCAGTATCACTCGTTTTTTCATTATAAGAGCCAACATAGTCAGCAAATATACTTGATGTTGACGTTTTGAAAACCTTCAGATTTGGGAGAGAAAGGTTTGGCTTTTTACTTTTCCATCTTTACGTGGACTGTTAAAAAAAATGAGGCGAATTTTCAAATTTCGCGGGCTACCTACATTCGATTAGCGATTTTTTTATGTTGGTACACTCAGCTCGAACATATGTTTACAGTTTCAACTGGTTAGCATGTTCAGTTTGTTGCTGAGAGGCATAGAAGTTAAAAGTGTTTTATGTGTTCGGCGTTTCTGCTATCGAAAAAAATGAATCAAAGAATTTGTATCAAATTTTGTGTAAAAGTGTTCATAAACACTTGAAATGTTGACAGTGGCATACGGCGAATGTACTCTGAGACACAAAAATGTTTACGACTGGTACAAGCTTTTCACAGAAGGTCGATGAGATGTGAATAACGACGCTCGCCATGGACGCCCCTGCACATCAAAATAGATGAAAATGTCGCATGAGCATCGCTCAGGAATTGTTGAATGACGTCAACGGCGATCCGGATTGATTTGCTTAAAAGGGTCATAACTAGTGACGAATCATGGGTATATGGTTATGATATCAAAACCAAAGTCCATTCGTCCCAATGGAAGAGCCAGGAGAGCTAAAACCAAAAAATGCACTCACGTTAAGGTTTTGCTCACTGTTTTCTTCGATTACTGTAGCGTAGTGCATCAGAAGTCATTTCCACATTGTCGTACGGTCAATAAGGAGTATTATCTTGAAGTTATACGGCGCTTGCGAGAAGCAAAACGAAGAAAACGTCCAGTATTGTGGAAAAACAATTCATGGCTTTTGCATCACGATAATGCACCTGCTAATTCTTTATTGCTGTTCGTAATATTTTGGCCAAAAACAACATCGTAATCATGCCTCAGCCACTGTATTCACCAGATTTGACCCCCTACGACTTTTTCCTGCTCCCAAGATTGAAGGTACCAATGAAAGGACGGCGTTTTGCGACGATTGAGGAGATAAAAACCAAATCTCTGAGAGAGCTCAATGACATACCAAAATGTGCATATCAGAACTGCTTCGGGTATTGGAAAAAACAATGGCACAAGTGTATACTTTGAAGGGGACAAAATGGAAATTGAGAAAAATGAAAATTCACCCTATTTTTTGAAAAGACAGTGTATAAAAAAATATGGAAATCTTTCAAGAAAGATAGGAATTAACTCAGAAATAAATTCTATACGAAGATGTTTAGTTCATGCAACGAAACTTTCAGACACAAACTGGAGGTAAAATTTCACTTTCATGTGTAGAAAGGGAAGAGTTGTTCACCTCTGGCAGAGCCCCGCATTACCAGAGGTAGGCTGTTTACAATGAGGTTTCGCCCAGTTCCCCAAGGGGATGGTTCGTAACCGCATATCACCCTACGGTCATTCAGCTGTCGGCACGATTCCTTACACCTCAGCTTGGGTAGGCTGGTCCACGGTGGCATGTTTTACAAAGGATTTTGGGCCACATTAGCTTCCCGAACAGGGCCTTCAGTCCCCTGGAGGGGACTGGAGGCCCTGTTAGTAACCGATAGGTAGCCCAACCCACGGGAAACAAGATTTCTATGGCTGGGATTGAATCAAATAAGCGAATGAATGTCATTATAAACTGTCATCGATGACATGAACAGATATAACTCATTCGTGTCATTAAGTCGTAATTTCATGAATGAATTGAGTGCTTTGTATTGTTATGTTATCCAGATTGATGCTGAAGAGGCAATAAGACTAGAGTCTTATTTTGAACCATCGGGTGTCCACCATTGAGGATGATAATGTTCCATGTAAGTGAAATTTTACCTCTTTCATATACTATATTGTGTAGCAATTCTGTGAATGATATCTGATTCAATTCCATAATGAATGTTTGGATTACAAACGAAGTGGGAAAAAGGGTTTTTTGTTACAATTTTTTGGTATGAAGGTGGAGAAGTAGAAAGCCAAAATTTTTCTTTCCCAAAAAATCAATCTCTTCTAAAAATATACCACTTCCAATTAAAATTCATATTTTGTTACTTTAAAATTCAATTTCAAATATTTTTTTGTTTTTTGAAGGTATAGGATGGAGTGGACCACCAAGTTTAATGTCCAGTAGCGGACCATCGTCTCCAGGTTTTTCAGAGAGTAATTCTAAATGTAGCAGCAGTGAGATGTCCTCGAGTATTATAAGTGGCGATGGGTATTGAAAATATTTTTTCTAGTTTTAAATATTCAAAGTCTATGATTTTGAGTTTGGCTTCAGCGTCAAATTTTTTAGTTCTTTCAGAATCCTTTGATTTTGTGAATGCGTTAATTTATTTTCGCATGTTTGGGAATCTTTTAATTTATTTTCAACTTTTAAGAATTAGGAAATAAATTTTATTTTTTGTCGATGTTTGTGTTTATGTTTAACTTTTCTGATGGTAATGGTGCACATCATATTAGTTTCACTCTTCAATTACTTCAGTACTGTTTTTTTTTTGAAGTTTGTCATTGTAATACACTCGGTGATTTAATTATTTGATTAATTTAACATGTAGATAGCTCATAGAATTTCTTACCCGATCAAGTTTTAGACAGCTAATATGTAAGCTGATAAAAACTAATAAATCTGGAATTTATGACATTAGTTGAGAAGTTTGTGATAGAATGTTTATAGGGCAAACTAAATGAGTTATAAAAACTCGTTTTGAAGGCGACACTGCTCATTTAATCGTATAGATCAAAGAAGCTTATATTACTAATTTGGAGGATGCTTTTTAATTCTTTCGGGAGTTAAAATGGGTTTTTCGATCAACCAGCAGTCGTCCGAACACAAACAACAACCCTCAAAAGCCATGGCTTGTATGAGAAGATTTACCGAGGCCTCACTTTTCAATGAGCTAACTGTATGAACAGGATAACAAGTTGGACCGCAATCAGAAATAGATAAAAAATAGGTTTAGATCAAAAAGTAGTTCATCTGATGAAATAATCTTGGTTTCAATGAATATAATTTTCTCTATTAGTGAAAAAGGTCATAGAAAACGTTGTTTGAAAAGTAAAAAGGTATACATTGAACATTGGAAACTCCCTTGTGTAGCTACTATTGTGTAACTCTTCCTTCACTTGTCATCTCTACAGGTGTTGGTAAGAATCCAAAAGTTATTGCTTGGGATCAAATATAGGTAAAGTCCTAGCCGATAGTCATTTCTTTAGTGCTTCACATTTCTAGATAGGCACCAAAGTTTACAATGTCTGCTTGAAGGTGGTTGAAAATGTTTCATGGTGCATTTCATTAGTTCGGACTTCCATTTCCATCATCCGAAGACGATTGTGGATACTAACAATCAAAATGTCATTAAATAACTTGGCTTGAAACTCATGAAATTTACAATGTCTATTATTAATTACTAATAAAATTTGTGTTTAACATTTTGTAAATTCTACTTAAATTTCAAAAACTAATGGAACTCATGTGTCACAACTTGTCAACTGTGAAAACAATATTTTTTTCATGTCCGCAGTGACTTGCAAAACTTAGACTTTACAAATACTTTTTCTAATTAACAAGTTTTCCCATGTTTTTAGAATAATTATTCTTATTGAACTTTATAAAGAATAATTCCTTAGTGAAGTGGAAGGTTCCACTTCACATCTCAACAAATTCTTTGTTGAGATGGATTAATTAAAATCGGAAGTGGTTACTTTTAATCCGCCAGAGTAAAATTACAAGGCTCCCCACTGAACACTGTCTCTTGAGAGGACACTTGAAGAAAATAGGGCTGTACAACGGTGACAGAGACAGCTCGTCATATTTTATGTGAATGTGAAGCACTGGGAAAAAATGGGAGAAAATCGTCTAGAGACTTAGGAGAACTGTACAAGTCAGACGACTCCCATGTAGTAAATCTTAAATGGAAAACACTTAATTTACTGAGAGAAATGTGAATTCCATTATATACACAAAATAAATAGACTCTCTTATATTCTACACTGTACGGTCTTACTATGAAATATAATAAAATTATGTGACATGCACAAAGTCACAAATTTCTAACTAAAATCACACAAAAACTCATGAGTGAATAGTGTGATAAAAAAATTAAAGAATGTAAATACCTACTCAGATCAGATGATTTGGCTTTGCCCATAGGCTATCAGGAACAACCAAGAACTGACATTAAAAGAACAAAGTCGTCACGTTCGTCTAAGAAAATGACAATATTCTTTTTGTTGCTTCTCTGCATTTTAATTTATGGTTTATTTTAAAGATAATCTTTAATTTTGATGTTGTTGAGGTGATGTATGTGAATATATTAAAACAACATTAAATTGCTATAACAATAGTCTATATCTATAATAAATATTGGACAAAAAAAATAATTTTTATCAAATTTCTACTAAGATTTTTATTTGTTATGACTGGTTTCGGTTTATTAAACCATTTCAGATTCTCAGTAGAAATTAGACAAAAGTTATTTTTTTATCCTATATTTAATATGAATTTCTACAAAATAAGTTGTAGAAGAAACACGTGCGAAACATCTTGGTTCTTTCATATTATTACAGAATTCAATCTCAACTACCAAAATAACTCTTCACACGAACCCATCTTATGAATAACTTTCTAAATTACTATTCTAAACATTTTCACCAAATAGCTGTTTCAATGAGGCTGGTGTGTCTTAAGACCAACACATCGTATTCATGTCTCAAGGAACATTAAAAATCTTTAGAAAACGTTCTCTCAAACTCTTGTCGTGTTGGACTTATTGAGGGTATCCTTCAGTGTAATAATAAATTGATAGTAAAAAACATTTCCAACAAGAAGCTTTTGTTTACATGCTCCAAAGAGAAAAAAATCAAATCAAACCCATCAATGTATTACTTAACATAATTTATATTTTGTAAGAAAAAAGTATAATTGTTTTCTTAGAATTACTTATGTCAAGATCAGGTTACATATAATATCTGTCAAAATCTGTTTTTCCTTTAACAAATACTCTGGTTTATCTACACAGGCAGATCTCGGGACAAGCTTTTATATGATATAAATTATGTAATGAACACTAATGTGAGAAAGGCTTATTTTTAAAAATGTTTCGTACTATGAGGCATTGTTGCATGGTCGACCTATATTTGTGGGAGCACTTTCAAACTCTCCCTAACTTTTGCTGAGTTACAACTCTTCAAGATTGGTAAGGCGACCATCTTGTTTACCACCATCCGCCATTCTGATTTTTTTCCTCATAACCTTTCATTTAAAATCCGTATCATGGAGTTGCATGAAAAACCATACTGAATTTCAAGTAACCTCTTCTTTGACCTCTTTTTATTTTCATATCGAATTTAGAGTGAGATCATTTTATTCATTACCATATCATTCATACCATACCATTCAACAAATTGAATAAATTAAGGTATTGAAATCAAACTCAAAAATATGTCGTATCTGTCGAACAACTGTCAACTCTGTTTATTCTAAAGTAACATTCAAAATCAATCAACACAAAATCATTAAAACAAAAATGAACATATTTCCCCCTCAAGAGTGTACATCATGTGCAGAGGGCTGCCTTCTACTAGTGACAGTTTGCATAGTTTTGTGATTGGATGCCAATATACACTAGTCGTCGTTTTTATATCAACGACTCTCACTTGACTGTCTTTTCCAGGATAGATGGCAATACTTGTTCCAAGGGAAGTTTGTTATCGATTACTATTACCACATCTCCTGTTTGAATGAGTTGCCTTCTTTCAACCATTTTGCTCTTTTTGTTTAACTGGGTAGGTATTCTAGAACCCAACGCATCCAAAAATTGTCGGCGAGCTTTTGAGAGTACCTCCATTACTTTCTCAAATCAATATTCTCGTCGAAAATCCCTGGTGATTTAGCTGAGCTTGATGTTCCAATAAGGAAATGATTTGGTGTAATACTCTCTGGATATTTTAAATTTGTTGATACGTATGTAAGCGGTTTACTATTCACTATGTTCTCACTTCGGCCATCGGGATTGCTAGTAATTTAGGTTTTGTATACTTTTCCTTCAACGTTATTTTCAAAGACTGTTTTACAGCACCCACCATTTTTTCCCACGCTCCTGTGTGGGCTCACAAGACGAATGAAGTTACAATCCTTATTTTGAAAAAATGACTGGGTAATCGTTCTCAATGTTTGCATTTGGCAATAAACTTCACCGGTAGTTTTACTTCCTACCATCCCTCAATACTCTAAAAAAAATCCAGATATGTGAATATTTGCCAAACAATTAATTTCCCCAGAATCCGCGTTCACATTCGTTTTGAGTACAACCCTCTCAGAAAATTCGAAGATTTCCATCTTTGCAGTAAAAATAATCGTTTAATAATCTTTTATAAATTATTCATTTTCATTTTCAAAAATCAGCAATAGTTCAAACTCAGCAGCAGTAATTTTTTGGCGATTCTGCGACCGAATGTAGATCGAATACTATTAATGATACTTCATCAAAACTTTCGTTAATTCTTGACTGAATGTGGAACGGATAATATGAATATTGTAACCACGCTACTTTAGCTGAGAAAATATTAATTTTTTTCGTTTTTCTCAAATATTTTTTTAATATTGACTATGAAAAAACCTAATGAACTTTTTTATAAGACGTTGAAGAAAAATGGATGTATTCCTGTGAAAATTTGCATAAAATATGAGTAAAGAAACTGAAAAATAGCAGTAATATTTAATATGTGAGTTTTTTTTCAATTATAATCTTTTTTGATCATTTAGCCGTTCAGTACGCATGAAGAAAGTGTCGGAAACTCGCCGAGAAAACAACGTTCCGATTTTCCCCAAAATAAATAAATAATTTTTCTCCGAAATCTCCACTCCTATTTTAATTTGAAATATCTGTGACCAGAATCTTGTCAGCATCATCATCATCATCAAATAAAAAAATCTTATGAATAAAAGTATAGTAAACTGAAAGAAAAGTTTTGTTCAAATGAACTACTTTTTGAAGGAGATTCATTACCATGTGGCTGGACTATGCAACATTGAGATTGCTAAAAGAACTGCCCCAAATGTGGATTGTTAAGTGAAAAGCCTGGGATAAATAGAAATATCACTCTAAACCCTTTTTCGTTATTTTGTTATGTGTAAAAAATAAAGTACAGAAAACTCAAAAGTTGACTTGATAGTTTTTATGAAGTTTTTTATTGAAACCTCTGAAAAATTCAACTTCCCACAAATGTTGAATCAAAAAGAAAGAACTACCGATCTTTATGAAAGAAGTATTAGGAAAATATACATTTCCATTTGTAATTTAAGATGTATTTTTCATAATGGAGTTAATTTTTTTTTCACATACAGTGAAAAATTTTCTTTCCTTATACGAGGAATTGAGCACATTTCGGATATGCGGTTGTTACCTCGTTCACAGGCAGATGGGGCAATAACAAACCTGTTGTTTGTTGTCCACTTCAGCCTAGTTCGAAAAATGATACTCTGAAGGAATTCGACACTACCTTGCACTGACGAGTGGCCAAACAGCCTGAAACCGGTCTGCAAGAGTGTTCCAATAATTGTAAATCTATTGCAGCAGTTGTATCGCCAACAGCATATGCAGACATAACTTCAGTGCACTGACACCTGTCAGATATAATTCAACGCCCTTTTTGGTATTAGCCAGGGGAGTAGTTGTTTTCTGATAGGTGTCAGTCCATTAACCTACAGTGTAGGGAGTTGAGACTGGCCTGAACGAATTGTTCGTTTAGATGATTTGGTTGATTTGTATAATAAAATTCTTAATATATCAACGAAAAAAATGTATTTCAAAATAGATTGACAATTTAACAGTTTTGTACTTTTCAATAATTTTTTTTAATGAGTATGTTACATTGTTCCGACTATAAACATGTCACGTTTCTTGGGACTGATGAAGTAATTATTATTATATTCAATAACTATTACTTCCTTATGTAACACCCTATGTCCATATTGTTAAGTAACCCATCACCTTGGCCTTTTATCTTATCACATTCAATAAAATCCTTAGGAAGTCACTGATTTTAAAAATTATCAAATGTTTCATTTTTGTGCTCCTGAGATTATAGCACCTTCCACACAATATTTTTTAAACAACTAAATGGACTTTAATTTTACATAATCACTGTTTACACAGTTTTGATTACATCAAAGACAAATTAAATGAAAACTTTCCATCCACGCTCCTGATAAGATGACAAAAATATAGTGGCAACAGAAAGAAAACCATTGATGGTATGTCTTAAGTGATATGTATCTAGTTTTTCTGTTTATTATTTTTTTGTAGTTTCACGTTTTTAGTTGAATAAAAACAGTTGAACATTTCTGAGTGATATGATTAGAGTTTATTAGTGGCCTCTCCCTAGTTTTTCTTGGTTAGTAGGTTTTTGTAGCATTCAGAAATACCTATTAAAAAAAATTTTTATCCTAATGAAAATAATTTTTGGGTTATGTATATCAACGTTTACTTGAATGAAAATTATGAAATGAACTATAAATATAAACAACATTTATAAATGAATGTTCATTGTGCATTAGTTAATTGTTGCTATAAACAAGGCTTGCTTGTTTTTTTACTGCAAAGAACAGACTTTGTTGTGATTAGTATAGTTGCTGATTAATATTTTTTCTTAGATTGACTGTGGACAATTTCAACAAAATATTCCCCACTGCACCGGGACTAGATCAAGACTTGGGAAGTGTTGGAATGCTTTTGGATTCCTTTGACAAAGACATGTCTGAATCAATGGAGTTTTCAGATTATTACGGCAATAATCCGAAAGGTATTTGAAAACAATAATTTTTCTCATTCAATCACAAGTATTCATTGTAAGTGAAGATAAATGAAACAAGGAACATTGAAATAATATTGCAAATATATAGATAATTAAAAGAGCTCTAACCTCACTCAGTTCTACTTTATATCAAATTATGATCTAAACAAAAGTTATATTTCATTGAGATTAATCATTTTTAATCAACAAAAGGTTATTAAGAGTTTGAATAATTTCGGTACATACTGCAAGAATATTTTACATCATATGTTCCCCAAGCATGTGTCATTTTTGGTAGGTTGCTTCTATAACCGGGAACATTCTGTTAGTATAAAGTACAGATAAGAACTAGGCATTTTCTGAGTCGAAAGCCGAAGCTTCACGCAAATCCATTCTCTTTAAGTGACAGATTGAGCAGCCGCAACAATTTAAATTCCAGTGCAATCTGTCAAATGCAGCATAAAAAGGGGAAAGTCTTCCTATTTACGGACAAAAATGAGTACAGTACCAAAGCATATAGGCTAATATACTCCAGAATATATTATAAACTGATGAAACTTGATTTGTGACTGACTCAAATGAACCCTTGGTTTTCCATTCCTTCAAAGGATAGTTCATTTTTTTAATTTCTCTGAAGGAATTCATTACAAAGAATAATAATTCTGATCTGATGATCGCAATGCATATAAGGCCATACTGTCGAGATTAACAGCATAACCTAACTATTACCGACTGCTAGATTTGCCACTTTTGGGTGGAGGGTCGTCTTTTTGACGCCTCGGGAGAGTAACTAAAATAATGCGTTTTTCTTATAGGCACTTTAGTTCAGCTGAGATTGTGTTACGGAGTAATAGCATTTCAAAATGAGGAGTTCTTAAAAATTGTTTGTAGAACTTGCATTTCGAAAATGAACTTCCCAATTTGCCAATTTGAAAGTTAATTTGTGAATTCACATAAGTTATTTATTGACAATTATTCTTGAATATTTGATGTAATCTGCTTCCTGAATTGTCCATTGTCCACGTTGGTAGTGAATTACCAAAAAAGTCTCTTCTCAATAGGAAGGCTCGAAAAATTGTCTCTGGTCTGGATTCTGGGCCACACTGGCCTGGAAGGTAATCAAGCTGTTGACACCTTCGCTTGGCAGGGCACTGCAAGAAGGTCAATCGGATCAGAACATGTTTTTGAGATTGATTGCCACGTGAATCATCATATAAACTTTAACTATCAGAAGACGGTGCATACCGTCATTGTTTGGAAGATGAAGAAACAGCTGAACAAATACTCTGTGCTTTCCATGTCGTGGATATAATGTTTTCAGAGTTTAACTATTGTCATCTGACCTAAAAGTTCACTCACCAGATGAGCTTATCGGCTTCATCAAGAGGCTGAAATTGTTTGGCAAGGTTTGAATAAGTATGAGCCACAATGAACCCTCGCGGGTTGCAGTAGGAGGTCGAATGGACCCAATCACTATCCAGTTTTTGGTCGGTTTTTGTGTCCCCTTATCTATCTTCAAAAGTTTTTTTGTTGTGTTATCCTAATTTTTCAATATTTCCTCGAGGTTGTTTCCTTCCTCTACTGTCTTTTTATAGCTTTGGTTTTCAGGTTTGAGAATATAGTCCCTTCCTCGGGTCCGACCTCCCTAAATATGAGCTTCTTGTACCATAATGGTGACCATGTTGGGAAACCAAACTTTGAATATTTTCTCATAACCTGTTCTTTTAGCCCTACAGTTAGAATTGTGGAAACTAATATTGCCTATTTTAATAACCAGGTTCCGAAAGTGGTGATCTAACCCCAGTCTCTGGATCTGATGTTGAATTCAATACCAATGATGCAACAGCAGGTTCCAGTGCAGAATGTGATGTTACTGTTACCGAGGATATAGAAACTTCATTTGCGATGGGAGAAAACAAGGAATTAGATCCCGAAGACACCGTCACCAACACTAGACTAGCGGTTTTCAACTACCCCAGTTGTTCTAATACAATGGACAATAATCTGTTCCAACCACCGTCAACTCCAAAGTTGAAATCTCCCATGGCTGCGAATATTAACGTTTGTTCGAATGTGTTGTTCTCTCCTACTTCAGATAATTATAATTTGAAGCACGTTGAGAATACTGATCGAACTCAAGCTCAGTCTAGCAGGATTGTCAACGAATTTGATAAAAACGACTTGAAGAGTATTATAAAGAAATCGAATATTTTCGAAAAAGCCATTCCAAATTCAAACGTTAATCTAGCTAGTCCAAGTTCTGACAAATGGTCAACAACGAAAGAAAAATTTTTGGACAATAAGAATTTTGAAAAGACTGATAATATAGATTTTGGTAAAAACTTGAATACCAACATAGAGAAGAAGGTAGAAAAAGAAAGTGAACTGGCTAGAGCTAAACCTGGCACTGTTGTCATCAAAGAGAGCTTTATTGACCCGCCTAGAATTTCTAGAGTTTCCAAAAGTTTTCATGGTAAATCTACCACCAAAAGTTATGCCCAAGATATTTGCAACAGTCCAAGGAGGTCTAGTGATGGTCCAATTACAAAAGTTCTCAATAATCCCATCAATTTCTCTGAAGCACAAAATTTTTATGGGGCTAAACCAAAGAGTAATGCAGAAAAATCCTCAAACCGACCACACTTTTTTTCGCAGTTATCTCAGCCATCCGGAAGTAGTTCAGCAATGTCCACTACACACTGTAGGAAAGCTTCCTTATCAGAAACTTCAGTAAGTACTTTCTCTAGCAAAATAAATACTTTTTTTTCATTAGTTCGGTTTTCCATTGTCTAATGTGACTCTATTGTGATTTGACATCAAGTGACCTCACGACGTTTCGATTTTTAGTATCCATAATCGTCTTCGGGTTATAACTGGACTATTCCTCTGAAAGATGACTATTTATAGGTCATTCGAGCGCTTTCACCTATCCCCTCTTCCCTCTCTCCGCCTCACCGGTTTAGCGGGAGTTGACCGTTTTCCGCTTAATTACAGGTTTCTATATGTTGCGTATCTCTACTGAATGCGTCGTTGGACATCATATATGCAGCGCTTCTTTGAACTTCCTCTTATACCAGTGTTCCTCCCTGTGGATGATCTCAGCATGGGACCAACGTTGATGAGTCCAAACATGCTATACTATTCTCGATTTACTAGTTTCTCCTCGCTGTGTGTTTTTCTTGTTGTTGGCTTGGCAATGCAGACTTTCAATGGCCTCTTTGTTTCACCGATATAGGATTTGCCGCCCTCACAGGGTATCCGGTAAATGCAATTCTTGGAATCGCAGTCCGCGATTGGTGGCATGGTTTTCGTGAGGCTGCTATGGATGGTGTTTCTGAGTCTGAAGCAGGTTCTGATCTTGTATTTGGACCCAATTCTTCTTATCCTTTCCGACAATCCTCTGACATCACAACTAGTGCTTGTACTTTCTCCACACATCTGAGGATTGTCGGAAAGGATAAGAAGAATTGGGTCCAAGTACACCAGAACCTGCTTCAAATCCGGAAATACCATCCGTAGAAGCCTTACGAAAACCGGTCATTCAAACGAGGACTGCCATTCCAAGAGTTGCATTTACCAGATATCCTGTGAGTGCGGCAAATCTTGTGTGGGTGAAACTGAAAGCCCGCATTGTCGAGCACATGAGAAACACACAGCGAGAAGCAACCAGTAAATCGGGAATGGGAGAGCATGTTTGTAGGCATCAACATAATATCAAGCGGTCCCAAGCTGAGATCATCCACGGGGAGGGAGGAACACTGGTTTGAGAGGAAGTTGAAAGAAGCTGCATATATATTGTTCAACGACACATTCAGCCAAGCTAATGTAGAGATACTTAACATATTTAAAACCTGTAATCATGCAGGAAAACGGTCAACTTCCGCTAAACCGTTGAAGCAGAGAGGGGGAAGTAAGGATAGGTGAAAGAGCTCGAATGATCTATAAATAGTCATATCTTGGAGGAATAGTCCAGTCATATTAGACAATGGAAGTCCCAACTAATGAAATTCACCATGAAACATTATTTTTTTAATAAACTATATATCTGAATTATTTATTTCGCTTTCAACTTTTCTAGTCAATCTTTTTAAAAAAAAGTTGTAAAAAGTAAAATAAATATAAGATAACAAAAAGTGAAAATTATTGAATTATCCAAGTTTCGCAAACCAAGTCGGCATCATGAATAGGTAATAATTGTGATTTTTATTTTTCTCTTTGTATACCTTTTTCAGATGATTCATTTTCGTTGAATCAGTTTTATCCTGTCATTCTTCAAATTGTCATACTTCAAATGTAAATTTTATCTTATGTCATAGATATTTATTTTTCATTCATTTCCTAATTCAGAATATTGACTGATGTAATCAATTTCCAATTTCATTTATTCTCCATATTTATTATATATAAAATCCAAAAATTATGATAATTGACAAGACAGGTATCTAGGCTTGATACATGGAAAGTGACTATCCTTAATCAATCAATTTATTCACCAAAAGAAATATATAAAATAAATAGTCTAAATAAAAATAGAAATACATATTGGTAAATAAAGAACACCCAAAAAGGTTACCCTTTAGCATGGGTGTGGTGTATATCATTATATAAGTATAATGTTATATTAGTGGCATATAATATTATTACATATGTATATTAATAGTACAGAAATGAATTATTATTAAGTAATATTACAAAATGAAAAGGTAACTACGCCATAACAGTAAAGTTCTTCTCAAGATGAACGTTGTATATATGTTGCATTGGCAGAAATTTGGCTTTATTCTTATGATGATGTATTATTAATGATTGATAGTAGCATTGTCGGATGACTAAAATTTCGAATTCCTTTTTTGAAAAAATTCTAAATATTTTAAATGTTTATCGGCTATTCCACGCCATACTTTTATCCCCCCCTTTTTTTACTACATTATTTTTCTTCAAGTTGTGTGTGTATCTTTCCATATCACACTACAATTTCTGCATGATGTAAAAATATTTATGAAATCTGTATTTTATCCATAAAATTCATTCAGATAGTAAATAATAATATAAATCACTCACATTCTGTAACAAACATATTAGACTAGTAACAATTTTAAGATACATATTGACCAACACATTAAAATTTGGACACACCGACCCATTACTTGGTGAAAATCAATAATACTAGTCATGATTTTTTAAAGAAGGGATAGTTGCTTAATAGGATAATTTTTTTAATGCAATTGTTTTCTTGCCAACGTTTCGAATTTAATTGAATTCTTCTTCAGGGCTCGAAAAGACGTTTCTGCGTGTTGAAATATAACTATTTTGAAATAATCAGACATATTAGATACATGATGAAAATAAAAAACACTGAAATAATAACATTTTCGAGACACAAAACACTACACAAAGACATAAAACAATAATTCAATTCTGTGGGTATCATTAATTCTTCAGCTGTCAGAAGTGTATCAGTTCAATTGTAGAATGGGATGGTTCCAGTAGCCAGACAGAGAGGTTTTGACCGTTAGTTGATTAAATCTAATGCTGTTTAATGTTATTAATCAGTTGTTTTCGACTTGAGTTATTGGTTTATAAACTATGGATTTGTAGAAAAGTTTAGTTTATGTTGAAGTGCATTCAAATAAAAAGTACTTTGCAGACTGTCAAATCCCAGCGATTTACCACAACAAGAGTTGATGAAGCAGAACATGCTGCTTCTGTTGCCATGAACTTTCCACCAAGGGTTCACAGTGAAGCAGAACCTAATACTTCTGGTTCAGGATCATCGCCTGTGATCGCAGAATCTTCTAGTAAAAGTATATTTTCCTTAGGTCGTAGTAGTAGCAAGAAAAAGAAAAAAAGTAACGATGCCAAGGATAATATTAAGGCTACTAAGAGTAATTCAGAAAAGTCATCTGTAACTGATGGATTCAACATGGAGAAGAAAAAGTAATTATATCTCTTTCACTATTTTTGTACTTCAATATTTCCCTGAATTGAATTAATTGATGTATTTTGATGATTTACACCAAAACCATTGTATTTCAATTTTTTTAATGAAATTCTAAATTATTTAACATCATTTGTGATTTTTATTTATTTCATCTGAATTCCTAATTTCATAAAGAATAAATATAATAAAATAAACAGCATCTTGTTTACATCACCTCTTCACAATATCTATAAGGATCTTACATCATAGTTTTTTATTTTTCGAAAGTAAAAACTGGGGACTTGAATTTCACCATTTTAACATCAAGTTTTATTAAGTATTGTTTAAGAAACTTATTATTTATCTGCAGACTCTTCCATTATCAGAACAGTACCTAACATTAACTTTCAATATTAAAATGTATGATGGTACAATCGTTTATTGTTCATTTTTTCACAACACCTCAGTGCCTGCCTCAAATGTTAATCAAAAATGATATTTTGCAAACTCTTTCCCTTATATAGTAACCATGGTTTAATTTTAGTTGTGAATCATCAGAAATTATATTGACAGTTAGTATAGAAATCATGATTGCCAACAATAAAATAAAAAACTACCACAATTTTGAATCCCTAACGAATAAAGCTCATTGGCAGGATAAATGTCAATCTGAAATAATTTATTTTGCTAAACGTGGACTATTTATTTAACGTGAGGGGTGAACAAATTTTTTGATGAAATGGCAGTTTGAGTGAAATTGACTATGCTAATTTTTCCTAAAAGTGATCATTGGGAGAATCGATGTAAACAATTCTAGATTCTTAGGTTTGACAATTCTTGCAACCTGCAAGCAATTTGACTATATTAGTTAAAATCATTTGAGTCATTCAGTTCTATTTCTTGTGCAGTAATCATTTCTGTTAAAAAAACCCAAATAAATTGCCCAACTTTCAGAATTTTTTCCATTGTACTTTCTGTTAATGACTTGAGCAATGTTAATCTATAAAGAAAACAAAATTTAAACAAGATATACGAATATATTTTTTTAATATGGATACAAATAGTATACACCAAAACATCCAACTAATCTACTAACGTTTCAATTCACCTTTGAAATAAATTTGTACTTCATAAAATAACAGCTCTTTACGAGTTTTTAACAATGTGTTGCAAAAATACCACAATTTTTTCCAAATTTTTCACTTTACAAAATGAGCTTACCAATTATGTATTCAGACTTTTTGTCAGTAATTTATATGTATATGTTGCCATACATTGAAAAAAGTAACCTTCAAAAGATCAAATAAAAACAACACATATTTTTTGGCATATTCAGACCAAGTACTTCAAAGAATGAATTTCATTAAAATTCAACCAAGATTTCAGTGATAACGATATGAGTGATAAACATTACGTTACTTCAACTGAAATAATGGGTAAAATTTCAGTGACTGGCCTACCAATACATATGAAAATGAAGAGATCAATTCTAACAAAAAGTGAGCCCAAAAACCACCGAACAAGATCAACCACGATTGGGAGTAATGCACACCATAATATTGTCTTTAGAAGTCATTATTCGACTCATAGGTTTTTGAAGGACAGAGAAAAATTGAAAATGTACCAATTATGAAATATCCCCTACTGTTTTACAAAGAGTGAATTGAAATTAATTCTTCAAAATCATACATAATATGTGAACTTTTTATAGAAATTCATTGATTATTTACAATAGAATTTATCAAGTTTTGGTTAGTTTCGATAGGTGTGTTGAAAATAACGTGAATATAATTACAGTACAAATGTAGTTCATTTAAAAGTTTTTGAAAATCAATAGTGTATTCAAATATAATTTAATACAAATTTTCTCAATAAATAATTCATATAAATTGATGTTTATTTCTTTGTAGAAAACCACAGAAATATTTTTAATTTCAAGTTTCACTGCTTCTGAAAAAAAGACAATCAATCATAATATTTAACGTATAAGGCTTTTGATATTTCCGTCAACTTTTGTCACTTTGAAACTCGACACACTCACAATCCGTTAATCTGCAGTGTTTTAATACCAGGAGCTCACACAAAATGAAGACAATTAGACAAAGTGGGCAGTAACCATAGTTGAGTGCAATTTTGTCATTTTCGTTTTGTGATGTGATGCATTTTCAGGGAAGCATATATAAAAAACACAGCTGCCTCAATAAAAATTTTGAAACGCCATAACAGTAAAGTTCTTCTCAAGATGAACCAACTGAACAGTTTCGTTAAATTCTAGTGTTTAAGTAGACTTGCAAAATAATCTACATTTTAGGAGTAACTGAATTAATTACTTCAATTTCAAGTATTCAGATAATCTAGTTATATACTAACTGAACAAAAAACTAAAAATAACTTCACTATGCCGTCTGTCTGCATGTCACAGCCTTATCATCCTATATTCATCAAAATCTTGAAATAAAATGTTTTCACATATCTTCAAACCATAATTCGAATGGATAAAAAAGTATAAAAAAATGTATAAACATAGTTTTATGTATTTTGTAAGTTTGGTCCACCTTTCTGTATATCTTTACTGCTATCGTTTTCAGAGCGAATCGTTAAGTAGTGTAAACAAAAACTGGATGTACATATTAATCATACTATGATTATGGTATAAAAAGCTAGGCACAGGTTATAGGCGAAGGTTAATATAACCACCTTTTTACAAATCTGTGTACCGACTGTACCATTTATTACAAATCTCACATGGGAGTAAGTTAAAAATAGCTATTTACAACCTATTGATAGTAGAGTATCCACAAATGATATAAAGAAATGTTCCATATAGTATATTCAACTCCATTATTTCTTCAGACCCCAACGATATCTGAAACCTTGTTTGTTCAAAAATATCTACTAAATCTATCTACATTCTCTGAATAAGATTGGTAAAATATTTTAATAACTCCTGCAAAAATGTTTTTTTACAATCACATCATATTACAGCAACAATACAGTTCGAGAAAGTATTTTAATAGTTGAGGTGGTAAAAGTGCCAATGGTTAGGGTTCTACTTCACATAAACCCTATCTAGTTGAAACTAAGATTGCATTAGAAAATTGATGAAAAAAGATAAATCTGTGGCTTGGAAAAAAATTGCAAATTTGGAATACTTAATCTAGATATTAATTGAACCTGATGAGTGTTGGATTCAACCCACATCATGGATTCCAGATATAATTGAGTTGGGAAGAAAAGCGAAACCCTACTATCAAATAGAAAATGCAACACTTTAACTGTGAGCCATTTTTGAAATAAAAACAATTTGCAGGTTTTCAAGCAGTATAGAGAATTTCTAATTGCCAAACATGTTACATAAAATTATAGAAATACAACAAATTTATAATATTTTTGTAGTCTCGAATAGTTAAAAAAAAATTATTTCTCATTACCTCTTTCATCAGGGTTGTTTATAAAGCTAGATTATCAAAATATATTACATACATAAGTGCGCAATATTTGATGAGTTTGTATACACATAACAAATAGTGAAAATCCGAAATCTTATAAACGGTATATATAGGATGGTTTTGAGTGCGCACACAGTATTCACTGCTTGCTCTCTGTGCATCATTCTTTATGAGATTCTTTTTCTGCATAGCTCATAGAGATTCCTTCTCATTTGAGTCCCTTTCCTGTCATACAGGAAACCAGTGACAAGGTCACTGTGATCTCACAATGTCAAGGTCGAAACAGTGGGTCACTTGTGTCCGTCCCATAGTTTCGAAATACAGATTTTAGCTTACTAAAACATTGTTTCTTCAAACCGGATTTTTGCAACAAGGCTTTTCTAAATTGCTTGTTCAGGTTGAATCTCTTCAGGCGGAATTGTAGGATTTTAATCATGCAGTACAGGCTTCCACGGGCGGTGTCGAATAGATTGTTCAATGTTAGCCATGGTCTGCAGGTTTTAATACTTGACGTCTGCTAGAGTGATCTACCTTGCTGTAATACACAAACCAGAAATGGTCCTGGTACATTTGTACTTATAATGGGGCTTAGTATCGAACGACCGACTGCTTTTGTGCCCGATTGGTCAGACACTTCTTTAATTATTAGGCAAATCTGTTTTATGAGGTTCCGGTATCCATGTCTTACTGACTTTTAAGTGGGTTTGATTTGGTCGTGATACTCGGTTAATTTCGGCCTCGCTATTTCTGTTAACCAGAAACGAATTTTTCATATTTGTAGGCTTCCGGTTCACAGTTACGCCTTGCCCTCTCTTCTACCGTGGATGACGGTTGGAGTGCTTGTTCAAATATCGGTCCATATGGTACTTCATGCCCCAGTCTGGCACTCTCCCGTCTTTCCACTAATACTTCCAGAAAATCGATTTTTTCTTCCTCTCTACATTGTGAACGGGATTTGCGAGTTCCGAGAATTCAAATGTCTCAGAAATTTTGCCAGCTCTTCTTATCTGTGACCCCAAACTTCTTCATCAACAGCAAATATTCTACGTCAAGTATAAAAAACTGTTTTACTAGGCATATACACCGCCAACAAACAATTACATAAAGAACAATGCACAGAGAGCAAAGAACAAACACTACGAATTTATATTCCCTTTTGATCTAGAATGTACTTGTTTTATTGTGATTGTTCAAAAAAAAAAAAAAGAAATAACTAGAATATACTTTCAGCTATATTGAAAGAATTGGTAACATTCTATTATATTTCTAAGGATCAATAAATAAATAATAAATATTCCTTGTTTTTTGTTAGCTATTCACCGGTATGAGTGATTGGCAAACATATGTGCCGTTTTTTCACCTCTCAATATATATCCCAATCCTGGTGCACTGATTAATAGGCCAGTATATTGAATTTTGTTAAATTTACGAGTATCCCTACAGATTAGGCATATGTTGTTTCGGGTTATCATCAATGAAAACTAATCTCAGCTTGATACTGGAATCATACCTGTGGATTGAGATGAGTAGTAGTTTTATTTCTATGTTCAGATAACTTTCAAATAGGCAAATTTCTGTATAATAATGAATATTCATTTTAGAGAGTCACTAAAAGTAATTTATTAATATGTGCAATTCATACCGAAAGTGATGGTGTTCCACATGGAACTGTTTGTCAGGGTTTAAAATATTCGTTGGTGTGTATGGACCAGATTTATGTGACTGTCAAAAGCATCTTCAAAATTTTCAAGTTACCGAACATGCTTCAGTAATTCTTTTAACAGATGATTCAACTATTGTTTCAGCCACCTCAATACTACTAAAATGTCAAGACGTGCATACTTTCCTAATGAATAGCACTATAAATTGAAAATGTTAGTTGATAGCTTTTCAAAATATCAAGTTCTTGTTACTTGATTTCTTATAAACACTAATTCCTTGAACACTTCTTCAATTTATACAAATGCCCCGAGGTTATCCAATAATTGACGAAAGATGTTTTAACAAAAACTTGGATATGCATGACCCAGATATGTAAGTTAATAATTGAAATTTAATTTTTGGTGTTATTTTCATACGATATAACAGGGATAAAAACAGGCAGAATAATACCGAAAATTCATTTACAATTTGTAAAATTGAAGTTGAAAGACACGCCAGATGAAGCCATTGTATGGCGAAACACGTGTTGCGTTTTTGTAAAACAATTTAGTGAAAATCTCACAATAAAGTGTTTTTGGAATACGTTTGTAAAATTTCGATTTTTCCCATTAAATACTTATTCATTTTGTTGATTGGTATATAGAGGTGATACAAAAAAAATTACATTCATGAATGAATATTTTCTATTACTCATGAAAACAATTCTATATCTTCCATCATTATCCTAGTGGAAATATGAGAGGAGCGGGGTCAACCTTTGTAGTGAGTAGTTATACTATGGTGATTCTACCCCAAAATCCAACACCTTTTCTCAATAATTGAAATTTTGGTCTCAATTATAATCTTCAGCCCATAAACATTTTCATCTAAGCTGACAAAATCTAATTTTATTATTTTTCGACCATGCATCTTATCTATCGTTAATGTAAATGCAACAGTTTTAAAATACCTCTTACTACAAGGGCCATGTGAAAAAAGTTGATCGATTTTCAGTGCAAATAATTTCTATGTGCTGTATAAACATTGAATATCGATTATTGAGTCAAATAAGTTCGTACTATTTGTGGTGTAAGCGTCGTTGATGGCATAAACTATTGACCACATGAGATAAGGATTTTGCTTGAATCACATTTTCATCAATTGGCTATTTTCTGTACAAGTGTCAGATTACATTGGCCGTTCACAACATCACTTTCCAACTAAATACCAAGAAAATCAAATAGAAATTGATGAATATACAGTAGTTGTTTGATAATAAAAAGAGTCACTGGTAGGCAGCTGTTTCATCCTATTGGGCATCGTCAGTACCGGGCAGGCGGTCCTCGATTGAAGACAAAATGTGAAAAACCAAGAAAAGTACTTGATAGAAATAACTGCGTAAACGCAAGCGAGACATAAGTGGAACCACCTATTGGTGTGACACCTAAGTCAACTTGCCAAGTTTTTATGTCAGTGTTGGTGGTTTGACCAATCAACCGACAACTGCGGTGGCAAAAATTTGGAAAGCTAACCTGGAATCTCGATTTCATATCATGTCAAGAAACATGTGGATTCGTTTTTCTATGACATTCCAGGTTAGCTTTTCAAATTTCTGCCACCGCAGTTGTCACTGCATACACACTGACATAAAAACTTGGCAAGTTGACTTGGGTGTCACACCAATAGGTGGTTCCACTTATGTCTCGCTTGCGTTTAAGCAGTTATTTTCATTTAGTACTTTTCTTGGTTTTTCACATTTTGTTTTTGTGCTGTTTTCCTGTTTTTGGCAACCTTTGCACTTGGCTACACCGCGCTGACGAGGCCAATAGCCAGAAACGCGTGTATATATATAAAATGATCGATTTTTCTCTCATAAATTACATAAATCATTGATGATACGTATATATATATATATATATAGATAAAATGATCGATTTTTCTCTCATAAATTACATAAATCATTGATGATACGTTTTATACTAACGTAACAATGTATATTGGTCTGGAAATAGTTATAAATTGATACCAAAAATTATATTATTGCCCATATTTACAAGATGTCCTTTATATAAATAACTGAAATAACGGTCATTGTTTGAGAAATATGGTAAGCTCAGATTTTGGTATAAATATTTTTCTACGCAAGACCAATGCATAATTGTATAAATGTGAGTACTGTAAAAATATGGCATGGTACATATGAAACCCTAATGAAAATAATGCATCGAAAAACTCATTCGATGTTACCATTGTAATTCTGATCCATCAAAACCGTACCTATCAGATGCGGGTCATTCTCCATTATAAACTCACCGTCCATAGTAAAACTTTTGTCTTGTGGCAACTGTTCAATGTTATTCTCCTCATTCAATTCAAAGTTCTGAACGAATTCCAGATTCTCCACACTGTCCGTCCTGATGGGTTGACCATTCAACAAACAGTCTCCGTTGACTCCATAAGTGAAAGTTTCACCGGTATTCCGAGGAGTCGAAGGATAAGATCTCGAATTTGTGTAGTTTGCTTTTAAAGGTTCTTCCACTATCTGGGAAAAAGGCAGGGGAGTGCTTGGAACAGATCTAGATGGTAAACACTTAGGTTGATAAGTCATGATGATATCTCCAATACTGTGAGAACGTACATTCCTTGCCATTTGAACGTTGGTGAAACTCACATCACCCTGCGTATAACTGCTGATCTGTTGATGACCGTTGGCAATTTGGATCCCAAACTCCGACAAGCCAGCGTTATTAGAAGGTAAATGAACATTATATAAATCGATGTTGTTGTTATCACAAGAATGGTCGTCAAGAGAATTCAAAATTCGTTTAACGTTATCACTATCAGTATCAGGTATCGGATCAATTTCTGGGAAATCATCCACAGGTACTGACTGTTCGGGTACCAAGATCTCATCAATGGGTGCGACCATGTCGTGCAAAGGAACAGACTGGGATCTGTACATTTCTAAATTAGACTCTATATTGGAAGCATAAAACTGCTCATCTTGAGAGGTATCAGGCTGTACAGCAACACTTTGTGGTACCGAATATCCTGGACTGTACTCTACTTTGCTACTGGAATTCAAGAGTTTATGCAAAACTGACTTGTTGCTCAACATTGGACTGACTGGTGCGGACATTGGGAGTGAACTACTGTTCAAAAACTGGCTTTCATTGGGGATTTCAACGGTGAGATTAATCTCCCGTTTCACTTTCAATGGTTTCCTCAACTCGTTTTTCAAAATGCCAACATTTTGATAAACGGTTTTGGTTCTCATAACCGGAGTGCTCCTTGGGCTCACGAATGGACTTGCTGTAGTACTGGAACATTTGGACTGTATACCACTAGGAGACTGAGGACCAGGAGATATTGGTGTGAAATTGAAATCTTTCCTTCTAGTATTTGGACTAGGAGGTACTGACGTTTCTTCTGTAACGTGTGTATCGAAACTAACCCTTCTCCTAATATTGGTCTGCATATGGGGCAAAACCCCCTGACGAATAATAGGGGTTATGTGAGTTATTTCGTTTTGTACTGGCGTTTGATTAAGACTGGCATTCGAAAAAGGAATGCTCTCCTGTATTACCCTGTGTTGTAGTGCTGTCGTTACCAAAGATTTGTTATCAACAATGTTCTGTTCGAGGAGTTGCCTAAGTGTCGATAGTTTGTCTGTATTTTCTGAATCGATTGGTTCGTTAACATTATTATTACTGAAATATTTGGAGAGTTCTTCCTCGTGTTGGCTGTTAGTACCTGTCGATAAAAAATAATACATACATTATGAAGCAGATGATGTAATTATATAAATAAAAACCATCTTCATTAATAAAATATTACACATAAATGAGAATTTTATGGCAACAGTGCAGTTATTGAAAAGAAAACAGAATTCTGAATAAAGTATATTCTAACACATTGGTTTATGAATGACAGCTAAAATTTCGGTTTATTTGTACGGGCCTGTTTGAAATATTGGCAGTATCCAATCCTATCCAATGATTTCGATATACTGTAAACAATTGATTACTTAGATTCATTTTAAAATGGGCTGGTTCCCCATCGTACATGAACCAGAAGTGTTGTCTCAGCTATAGAAGACCTTCTTCAAGAATAACAGGTAACTCTTCCTGCAGGAAATCAAGGTAAGATACGACTGTTAGCTGTGGTGGGAGGAAATATCGACTGAATAAATGATTATCGAGTACCCCAAGCCATACATTTGAAGAAAACTGATGCTGAAAATAAGCTTCAAAGATTCCATGTGAATTTTTTCCAGTCCAAAGGTGATTATTATTTGTATACATTGTCGTCCAACATTACCTAGCCAGTAAACAAAACAGCATTTAAAAAATTTACATTTTGACAAAATGGTTGATACTTATGATGCATGATGCACTGTTTGGAACCTTTGGTGTAGTAACTAGAAACCAACACGAAGCTAACCCTATTTATGCTATATAGATATCCCATACAGGTAAACCATCCAGGTGTACCACCCATACAGGTATACCAACCTAAATTAATTTTACAATTTTTCCTCATCTATTATTTTACAATATATGTTTTAACTGTTATAGCTGTATATAAAACAATTTTCAGCTATATAAAAATTAATTTCACAATATTGCCTATCCAAATTAAATTCCAGACTTTTCCGAATTCTCGACTTTGTCTTTTGGACTTCCCAAAAGGCTCTGTAGTGTATGACTTGTTTTAAAAACCACCTTCATACCTAGTTCCTAGAAAATCTTTCCAAAGTTCCTCGTAAGTGGCTAGCTTCTTCAGTGGTGGTTTATAAGTCTTGAGTTTATCTCCGATGACTGGGTATTAAAGCTGTGTAAAGCATATTTATACTTGTGATGCACTGTTTGGAACCTTTAGTGGAATAATGAATATTATTGGAGATTTTTTCCCGACTCAAAACCGTTATTTTAACAGGAAGGAAGAGGAAGATCTTCCTCTTGAAGATGGTGATCGAAACACGTGTCGAGGTGCTAAAATAACGGTTTGGTGTTGAGAAAAACTCCAGTAATATTCAAGCATATTTATGTTGACTCAGGTAGTTTGATGTGCTAATACCTGTACGTGGATTACGTAAAATGTCAATAACATTCGTTGACCCTTTTTTAACTGCCGTCGAAGTTCTACAATAGCAAACATCATGCATTCACATAAAATATACAGTGCTGTCTCTGTCCCTTTCTTGCATAGCCTGTAGTTGAGGTCTTCATTGTGAAGCCCAATTTTGTTCAGGTGTCCTCTCAACGAAATAATAATTGTTAAGAGCTGTTCCCGGCTTCGTTGAAGTATTTCTTCTGTTCTCTTCTTGGACGGTTCCTTTATGAAGGTTGTCTTGTTTGTGTTCTCTGGTATGTTTTCCCAGTATATTTCTAATAGACCCACTTTCCAATCTCGTTCCGTTCCGAAGACCTCTTTGATCTTTGGTTGACAGTGGGTCAATGTTCGTTGTACGTTAGTGCCAATTACAGCTATAACCACTTGTGTATCTTTTTAAAAGGATAATAACGCAGGTGCTCGTGACACTAATTAAAAATAACATCTGTGGGTGTGAAACATAATACGTATGTTTTCTCATAAAGTAAACCTTACGATTTATTCTTCACGAACTTTATTTTAAAAAAATATATCACGACATGTTTCGCTATCACAGTAGCTTTTTGTAGTGAATGACATACTGTAATTTAATTATTACTTATACATTACATATCAATTATATACTCTAATTTTTATACATCCAACGTAATCATAAGTGAGAGATACCTACTTAGGTTAGGTCCAAAGTGAGTGGGTCTATTCGAGCCTCCACCGCAATCCGCAAGGGTTTATTATGGCTCACACCTATTTACACTCGACCAAATAACCCGATTAGTTTGTATGGTGAGTGGTCTTTCAGGTCAGATGGTACGAATACGGCTCTGTCGAACTCTAAAAACCTGATTCGGTCCCCGGCGGGGCAGGCACAAAGTATTTGCTCTGTTGTTTCATCATTTTCCAAACAGAGGCGACGCACACTGTCTTCCGACAGTCCGAGTCTCTGCATATGATGATTCAAATGACAGTGACCTATAAGAAGGCCTATTAGATAACGTAGTCATCCTTACTGTAGTCCAACAACTGTTTGGTATCAAGCTTCGAAGGGTGAATAAACGCCTTGGAGTGAGCCAATCCTGGAAGATTCTGCCATCCAGGTGTTCAATATTTGTTTAGCAAAGCCGAAAGCGATGCCAATGACAGGTTCTGATTCGATGAAGCTGCTTGCAACATCTACCTACTTAGGTACTTCTTCGATCAAAATTACCTACAGCATACCATATACCAAGGTATATCCTCAAATCATAATTACCGAGAGCATATTATATCAATTGTACATCAATAATACATGTTGGTTTCTAAGAATCAGAAAAATTTTACATATATGTTTCAGCACAAGTTAATCAAATCAAATAAGTTTATTCATTCAAAGGACCCATTAGGATATAGAACATGTCAGGATATAATGTCTGAGTACAAGTATATAAATATAGTAAAGACTAGGTGCTTAACTACAAAACAACAAAAAAGAACAGCAATATAAATTATTTGCTTAAAAAGTTACATTGAAAATTCATCAATGTTATAAAGTAAATTTTCTTGCAGAAAACGTTTTATGGAGTTACGAAATTTAATGTCAGCGGATAATTGATTGTAAACTCTTACACCTGTTGAGAGTGGTCCATTTGATGTTATTTGGAGATTGCCATGATTTGGATAGTTTCGCTGATTGTTTCTGGTTTGGTAGACATGCATGTCCGAATGCCTGGGAAGAGTGTTTTTCATTTGATGAATGTAGCAGGCAACTTCCATAATATAAAGGCAGGCCAGAGGAAGAATATTCAATTTGGCAAACAATGGTTTGCAGGAATTCCTGGGTGATACATTTTTTATAGTTCTTACTGCTTTTTTCTGAATAAGAAATAGATGCTGTGCAGCCGGAGAGTTTCCCCATAGTAAAATGCCATAAAGTAGAATAGACTGGATTTCATCAAAGTAGAAATTTCTCAAACTTCCGATATCAACCACACTCCGTATACATCGAATTTAATATATTTTTGTATTTAATTTATTTATAGTTGCATATATTATTTATATATATTATATAGTTTTAATGTACATTGTAAATACGATTCACGTTAAATGAATAAATAAAATGAAATATCGGATCTATAAGAGTTGAAGGAGACAACAGTTAATATAGATCTATAAGGATTTCAATCAAGTTTTGAAAGCTCAGAAAGATCACCAACTTACCTAAATATTCATCCATGGCATCCTTGGAGACGTTACTGACGCTATCGAGCCGTTCTCTTGTAAGAGGAAAATCGGGAACATCACATTCTTCATCATCACTGTTGCTTTCCTTAATCCTACCTATATCATTTAAGTCTTGAGATCTGTTTTCCTCAACCGAAGCGGTTTGGATCGGCTGGGGGTTGTACGACGCAATATCACAATGTTGCAGTCTGGGCCGGAGCGATTTGTACTTTGCTAGCTTTCTAGGGGGCGTACTCGTCTGTACTGTGGCTGGCTGCAGTCTTGGTATCGCTACCTTATGGACTGTGCTTACCGGTGTTTCCTAAAACATAATGGTTTTAGGTTAGGACCAACTTGTTCGTAGCTCATTCTTATTGGAATTTTTTCAACACCTGGCATGATCGAATGCTCATACACTAAATCTTTCGTCTCACACCTTCTTTTATAACAACCTCAACAGAGAAAAAAATATAAAAAATATTCAATGACAACATATATTAATATTTTTAAACTCCTCCATAGAAAGCATCTTATTGTTCTCATATTTTTCCTAAAGTGGAAATTTATTGCCTAGATATCATGATACCACATTATTTTGTGGTATACATACATTGAACAATATTTGATAAGTAGAATTGGGAACTTCTGGAGTGAAATGAATTTGATGAAAACATTTTCCCTCACCAGAACAAAAATACTGTTTCTCGACTCGCGTTTTGCTAACGAAGTTAGCATCATCTCCTGATGATGCTAACATAAATTTCACAGTAACCTTAAGCAAGCATGCTCTTACATTCGTGAAAATATCGGTCTTGTATTGGTAAATTGCTGAAAGTTGATGAATCCAGGGTAGCCACAATATTCAATTCTAATGTTGAAATAGTTGGGGAATAGACATTTTTACTAATTGTATGTCATCGGTATGTCGCAGACATCTGAATTTTTTTAAAGTGTTTATTTCATCCCAAAATACACAGTGTAAATAGGGACAACTCTATAACTTAAGAATAACAATTTTGCCGTTCATGGGCGTGTCAATAGATAATTACTATATCTATGTATCTACAGGTAAACATATGAAATATATAGTTATATTTTAAATACCAAAATTCACTACAATTAATGACTCGACACTTTAGAATAGTTAAATATATGTATCACAGTTAAATAGTTAAATACAGTCATTGAATAAATTTATCTCAATATAATACTTAGTTGGATATATTCTGTTAGTCAGGAAATGAAATAATCCTTCAATGGAAAAAATCGATGAAGGTATATTAACAATGCTCGCTCACCTGTTTATTGCTGACAACTTCATAGTTGTACTGAAGAGAAAGTAAACAACCTAAATTTTACCATTTCCTTGTATCATATTCTCTCCGTTTATGTTCTTTTTTATGACAAATTGGAGAATTTATATTATTCAATAGCATCTACACGCGATTCAGTTAGGCAACCCATTTGCAAATTATCAATGTATACAGTGCATTTCTTTAATGTTCCCCCCCTTTATTTTTTGAACGGGTTAACTCAAAAAATTGAAATTTGGGATAATGAAATTAGTGCAAAAATACTTTATTTTGAAGGGAAATTGACAGATGAAACTTTCAAGATGGCGACTGGGCGCCATATAGCAATTCCAACAACACGATTAGGGTTGTTAAGGTATTTTTTGTTTATAAAAACGACAAACAATGTCAGTACGACAATGAACATCATTGTTCAGTTAGAATATTCTCATTTAGTTTTCGGTTTTACTAGTAGAAAGGTACCACGTCAACAATCTCTAAAACGGACAATTCTCGTCCATTGGAAGAAAAAATGGAAGCGATTTTTATTTACGGTGCGACGCGTAACTTCCGCGAGACCGAAAAGATTTTCAATGAACGTTTTCCGAATCGTCCTATCTGTAGAAAATATTTGAGGGAACTTGTATCTAAATTCACAACTACCGGTAGTGTACATAACAAAAAGCCCCCAGGTCATCCGTCCATTCTGGAAGAACAGCAAGTGAAAATAATTGGTGGGATGGTGGTAAATCCTGAACAGTCTACTTATTCCGTCGCGAATGTTTGTGAGATGTGAAATAGGTATCATCCATACAAAATTAAAATGGTACCCCAATTAACTGAAGGTGACCCTGATCGAAGAACAGAATTCTGCGAAATCATGACGGAAACCATTGCATCCTACCTATCTTCACAATATTTGTTCTAGTGACGAATGTACATTTTTTCGGCAATGTTCACAGACAAAATTGCCGTTATTGGAGTGACACCAACCCTCACGTTTCCGGGAAACACATACCCAATATCCAGAAAAAAATTAACGTTTGGGAAACCACAGGACCTCTATTTATTGATCAAAATTCAACAAGAGAACTGTATTTGAATATGCTGGAAACTACTGTTGACCCTTTCATCACTGAAATCGTCAAAGCGAATCCTAATGAATTCGATATGGATATTATATTCCAACAAGATGGAGCACCACCACATTACTCCAGACAAGTAAGAAACTATTTGGATACTACTTTTTCCGGTCGATTGGATTGACCGTCGAGGTCCTACGGAATGGCCAACCGCTCGCCAGATTTGACACCTTTGGACTTTTTTATGGGGCTATTCAAAGCAAAAGGTGTGGGAAACTGAACCTGCTTCAATATTGGATATACGGCAGAGAATAATAAATATTTGTAGAGATATTGACGTTACTATGTTCGAAAATGTTTGGCGTGAAATATCGGATAGGCTGTTCATCTGAACAAACTATGTTGCATGGGTATAAGGGGCAAAACTTATTCTCTCATTGAGACATTTTTAAAGGAAAGATCCCAGTTTGTCGGTGTTGGTGAGAGCATGAGTGAGTATATAAAAAATAATTGTGGCGTACCACAGGGTTCCGTTTTGGGGGCCCTTTTCTATACACTGATGGTACTGTTACTGAGGTAGGCCGGGCTTAAGGGAAGGTATTTCACGTTCGCCGATGACACGGATATAATTTACATTTACTGGAGAACACAGCTAATGAAGATCTCTCTAAATACTCAAATTGGCTTGCACATAATAAACTTAAGGTGAACTCTGCAAAAAGCGTTTACATGCTATTTAAACAAAAAAATAGAATTTGTGGAAATATTGAATTAAGAATAAATAACTTACCCTCAATGAATGTTGCAAAAACCAAGTATTTGGGACTCATAATAGATGATGAGTTAAACTGATCAGGACACATAGAACATATTAATGATAAAATTGTACCAATGTTAGGAGCTCTATATAGGTGTTCCTGTTACTTGAGTTTCAATAATAGATACTTGGTTTACAATGCATATATATTGGCGAATCTTAGGTATCTGTTAATCATATGGGGTAATTGTGGCATTACTAATTTCAAAAAAATTCAAACGCTACAAAATAAATCAATAAAATTTTTATTTCAAATTCCATTTCGAACCCACACAAATGATTTATTCTCACAGACTGAACTACACTCAATTAAATATCTACTTAAACTTGAGCAATGCAAGAACATATATAAAATAAAAAACAAAAGAATCGAAAGCAACAACGATCTACTAGTCAACAACCAGTTTTATGAGTATAATACAAGGGGTAGAAATGACCTACACCTGAGCATGGTAAGAACGAACAAAGGATTATACAATCCTTTTACACAGGCTATTGAAGTCTTCAATGAATTACCTGTCCATATACGTGAGTTGCCGGGCTATAGTTCATTAATCAATAGTTTAAAAGAACATCTGAGCCTCGAAGCACATGTCTGATACTTTGATACTATGAGCTTAGTAGTGGTTGTCTAGTTTTTATGTTTCACTTGTCATGTTGAATGTTTGTGAATCCCGAGACCAGCATTTTTGCTGATTAGGGAGAATAACAACATATTTTATATTAACTGACTCATGGCACTATGCTATTTTTATTTTAAAAAGAAACTAGAAATGTATTTAAAATCAATGTTAGATTTTCTTGGACTGGAAAAATGTTCTCGAAATGTTCTATTATACCTATTTAATATCTTTATTGTGTTGTATATTGTATTTGTTTTCTAATTGTAATTTTCAATTATTCAATTATATTTTATTTTCAGGAGGTTGAATTGTAAAACAGCATAAGCTGAATTTCACCTTCCTTTGACATACTTCCTCGAGGCCCATTTGTATTACGTAAAAATCGGTTGCTAGTCGGCCACTGGGCCCAAAGCTCCGGCCCATTCGGAAAAGTACCACCATCATTAATCAATGAAAACTTCTCAGAACTGTTAAATGAGTGACCATTGGGTCTGAGAACCATGTGCCTGAGAAGATAAAATGAACAGAGAATGACAGCTTTCTGCAATTGTCCAGCTAAGATTTCTGCCATCTTAAGGAAAGCTGGTATGGTTTTGAGTTCAGAGAGTAGCGAAGGCGTCATATTACCTAGAACTCGTGTAACAATATTCGCTTCACCCCTAGTGATTAACTCCACAACGAATATTGTCTCACTTTCATGGTTTCAAGCTTACTAGCTTGTATCTCCTTGAAGATGAGTAGTTCCATTAAATTTGGCACCGGTTTCCACAAAAAAATTCTCCTGGAGTGTGAGGCAATACTGGGGTCTTATCAAATCCGTGGGAGTACCACAGATGGTACTATAACACTATTAATGGTGGTTGTATATGTCGGACATGCTAAGAGCAAATGCTTAAAAATCTCAAGCCCTCACGACAGGTCCAAAGGTTTAAGACAACATACTGGCAGATCATGTTTTATCCCTTGGTTTCCAACTTCAACCCGCTTGATCTGAGAAAAGTGAAAGTCAGGTTCTTAGATCTGTATCTGTAGAGTAGGGAGGGTGAGTTTAAGCCCACAGCACTTAGACCACATGTGACCCATTGTACATCCTCCCGAGGGTTGTCCTGCTAGGTCATCGTCCATCCTGTCCTTTCCAGGAAGGTGGACAGGTCACTGGTAGACATCTCCTTTATATCAGCAGGTGTAGGCCAAGACTCGCCGAACACACAGTCTCTTATTGACTTATAAAGGTGTGTCTACTAGCTCCATATTATGGAGGTGTTTCCTTAATTGACAGTGGCCAGTCAGAAATCCTACTGTTAAGCGTAGATGTTTTCTGGTCATCGCCAGATATTTCTTTGGCGTCAGCTTCCCAGGGTCGCCCAGGGTGATCCTGATAAGATTGCATCCTTTGATTTCATCCTATCTCTTTAGGGATTGAGCATGGGTGTAATATTTGGCTACTTCCGCAATTGTCGAAGTCATCAGGCCTTAGGTGCCACTGGGTCCTTAAATTCTTAGTCTAGCCGCTTCCTTGGCTAAAGAGTCCTTTACTCATGTCGTGCCCTTTAACCCACCTCAAGATAATGTTATTATCAACCAAGGCTTTGGCTAAATCTTGGTGGCACTCTAGTACTAGCCCTGTTCAAGGCTAATAGGGCTTGTCTGCTGTCAGTGCAGATTGTTATGTTTTTGCCAAAAATTCCTTTCCTGGTTATTTATTTTGTGGCGATTGAGATACCAGCCAGTTCTGTTTGGACCACGCTGGTATTTTTTCTCATTCCCCACTTAATCCTTAGGCTTAACGATCTGAAGTACACTCCACATCCTGAGCCATCCAGGTTCTTAGATTAACCAAAGCCTTCAATATAATTGAAAAAACCCCGTGCAATAATAATGTTAATTGTCACAACTGATATTTTTTTCCAAATACTCAGATAAAAATTTCTCACGATCACTTTGTAAAACATACATAATTAAAAACAATCAAATAGGAAATTTTTTGTTAAAGTTACAGTGGTAACCTACCTGCATTTTTCTTTTCCTTTCCTTCCCTTCATTTTTTTGTTGAATTTTCCTTTGAAGCTGCAGTTGCATTTCCCTATGCTTACTACAATTTTTGTAATTTCCTTCCTCACCTGTAACACAAAACTAAGATGCAACAAAACGAAAACATTCGACCATGTGTGTTACCGAATATGTTGAAAAAGTCTTTCATGACGACTAATGGAATTTTTACACATTATTTACATTCGATTTATACCTTTGAGTGAAGATTCACTGACAGAAGCAATTTTTGAGGCAGCTTCAGAACCTGTGCCAACAGCGTGGTTCATTATCAAATGATAAGCTAGAGCTTGGATAGAATCAAATTTCTGATTCAGCTGCTGTTCCGACCATTCTTTCACAATCAACCATGCTGCGGATGTTAAACTTGTTTGAGTGAATGGAGCCTCCGTTGACTGAAAACAAAAAACGAATTGAGTTCTTGCAAATGAACTGAATAATAAACAAAAATATGAACTAATTGAAACTGTTCCGAGTTTACATGTGAAATTTATACTAAACACTTAGAACCATTAGGGAAAGTCTAAGGTCTTTAGCAACACTGGGATTAGCTGTCGATCAGTCAACAAAAATAAGTACTCGGCCCTCTGAAATCAAGAGAAGTTGTCATCTGGAGCATACTGACAAATCAGTACAGGCACTTAAAAGTGACCCAAGTGCTCAATAGAACTCAGAGCTAGGGTATTAGCATCAATAAAGCCTGGCTACCTGTACTAAATTGCACTCAGAATAGGTCGTTGAATTCAACGAATAGGAACGAAGCCACGCCCACCACCAATGGGGTGAAACCGAAGAATCAAGGACACTGTATTGCCTTTGATAATGTCTACCGCAGTAGTAGACGAAATGCCAGATATGAAAACTGCAGAATACAGCCGACAAATCCGAAAAATAGATTTGACATATTACGAAGTAGATTTCCAACATGCATGAAGAAATTATAGCATTAGTGACTTTGAGAGGTTCAGATGTGTCACATCAGAGTCCCTTTTCCATATTTGAAAATGAAAAATATTTGTAAAATGGGGCAACCACGGATATATATCTTTATATACACACTTTCTTTTTCAGAATGTGTAGCAAACTTCTGATAAAAATTATATATTGTGAAAACACTTGGATATTATGATTTTAATGAAAGCAAGACTTATAACAAAAAAATTCACCTTTTCTCTAGAAAATTTTATAGTGAACAAAAAAGATACTAAATTACTAATGATATTTAGTGTCCGACCGAAACTGGTTTTTACGACCGAAACCGAAACTTCCTTACAAGGATTGTTTTAAGGGAAAAATAAAGAAAAGGTTATTTTATTCAGTTAGCCTTTATTTGTTTATCTTTAAATCACAACGTTATGCAGTCTTCGGCATTTTCACTTATTGATAATCAACATAAAAAACCCTTATTTAAGAAAAAAGATTAATGACATCTTAAAAATACTTAAAATAGGTGAGGTGTTCATTTGAGTAGGAGCAGATCCTTTTTTTGAATATTATTGATGGGTTTTCAAAAATATTAAACATAAAATTACTTATTTGAGTTTTTACCTAATATCACTTGCATGAAATTTAACGAGCCGAACATGGCCGATCACAGCGCGGGAACTCCCGAATGCAGTTTCGGTTTCGGTCGTAGTTTCGGCAGGTTTGCCGCCGAAACCGAAACTAAACCGAAACCTATTTTTTTGCCGAAACTCAACCGAAACCGAACTTTCGGTCGGACACTAATGATATTGTGAAATATTTAAGAAAATAAAAAATTCGAAATAAAATCTTAAGCATTCATCTCTCCCAACGTACCTATACAGTAGCTTCTGGTAAATGCCTGTCGATAAACAACTACTTCCCCGGTTAATACCACGCTGGACATTCAATTATATTCGACAGGTTTGCTTCATTTGGTTTTTAAACGGTTTTATTTATACTCGATAATAATAAAGTTTAGTAAAAATCCTGAATCTTTTCTTTCTTAGATTGTACCTATACAGTAGCTTCTGGTAAATGCCTGTCGATAAACAACTACTTCCCCGGTTAATACCACGCTGGACATTCAATTATATTCGACAGGTTTGCTTCATTTGGTTTTTAAACGGTTTTATTTATACTCGATAACAATAAAGTTTAGTAAAAATCCTGAATCTTTTCTTTCTTAGATTATTTTTAAAGGTTCTCAAACAATGGAAGAATTGAATTTCCATCACATAATAACATCAATTGAACTACTAAATTACCCTAAAAATCATCAGATTTATGAATACGTCAGTCATAGTACTCAAAGAATGACGTGAAATCATAATAAAGGTACAGTGAACACGTGAACAGTCATCAGATATGAAACTTGTAGATGATACTTGAACAAAGTGTTGAAAGATTAATAGACAGATAGGAGAACGATTGATAAAACAAGCGGTTTTTCCAACATGTTGTCATATAAATAGCACGTTTTTTCAGCTGATCCCACAATTGCTATCTCGGAAACGGGGTATAAGATCTATACTGTCGGTTGAATACGGACCTGCATTGTAATACATAGCTGAATTTGTTATTCGGTTAGGTCTAAAGTGAGTGGGTATATTCGACCCTCCACCGCAACCCGCAAGGGTTTACTGTGGTTCACATCTATTCACACTCGACCAAATAAACCCAGCTTCTTAACGAAGCCGATTCGTTTGTATGGTGAGTGATCTTTCAGGTCAGATGGTAAGAGTACGGCTCTGCCGTACCTGATTCGGTCCCCAGCGGGGCAGGCACAAAGTATGTGCTCTGCTGTTTCATAATTTTCCAAACAGAGGCGACACACACTGTCTTCCGACAGTCCGAGTCTATGCATATAATGATTCAAATAACAGTGACCTGTAAGAAGGCCTGTTAGACGTCGTAGTGCATTCCTACTGTAGTCCAATAACTGTTTGGTATCAAGCTTCGAAGGGTGAATAAACGCCTTGGAGTGAGCCAATCCTGGAAGATTCTGCCAGAAGTCCATAAATCTTCTTACCATCCAGGTGTTTAATATTTGTTTGACAAAGCCTAAAGGGATGCCAATAACAGGTTCTTGTCCGATGAAGCTGCTTGTAGCACCCTCCTTTGCAGCCTCATTGCCTTCCAGGCCAGTATGGCCAGGAATCCTACCAGATCTGTTAAGTCTTCCCTATCGAGGAGAATCGTTTTTGGCAATTGCTACCAATTAAGACGTTGCTCCGTAGGAGCTGAGAGCTTCCAACGCCGCTTGACTGTCTGAGAATATTTTTATTGACTTGTGTATGAGGGTGAATTCTTCCAATCTCTCCGCACACAATTGAATAGCGTAAATTTCCGCTTGAAATACAGTCGCATAGATTCCTAGGCAGGTTGATATCTCTGTCCTGGGTCTGCGACTGAAAACACCTGCACCAGAACCTGAAGGTTTTTTTGATCCATCTGTGAACCAACAACTATTTGCTCTTAATATTTCCTTCTCCCGGAGGTCCGTATTGGAAAAAACAAAGTTGATGATGAAATGTAATGAAAGAAACTTCTTGCAAATTGGTTTAATGAGAACACGAAATTCTACAACTTTAATTTGAAAAACAACCACAGATATTCTCGACCTGAAAAGAGATTGTTCTAGTTCCCCAAAATAGGAAACTTTTTTTCCGATTTGGTCGACTTTGTAGGGTTTACCGTTTTCGAGATAGTGGTATCAGCTAACAAAAAACGGCCTGTATATAATATCCAACTAAAAACTCTATTATATCGGAACGTTTTAATGAAACAATTTATTTTTGATTTCCTTATCAAAAGTGTCAAAAAAATTTTTAAAATGCATTAACATATATTTGTCGGCATCAACTTGAATATGGTTGAAAAATAGATAACACATCTGATGAAAAACAGATTGTTCTACGTCATTATAAAGAGGTTCTGATGCTAAAGATCACATCCTGAAAGGTAAGACTTCCTTAATTCTTAGCTTGTACAAAATTCAATTTTTGAGGGTTGCCTTTCATAGGGGAAAAGCAGTTATTTTTTATATGGACAACCAAAAACATGTAACTGAACTAAAGTACCAGAAGAAAGTGATTGGCTGCCAAACAAAGCTTTCAACAGCTTCAGAACCTCTTAACAGGACATTGTCAACTGAGTGACTAAAAATTGCTGCTAACAAGCTCTGTTCTGCAACAGGCCTAATTTATGTTGAAGAAGAAAACATACTAACCTGAACCATTATATGCATGAAATAATAATCAAAACTTTTTTGGTAGGACTTTCTGTTGTATTATTCCGGAGGAGGTTGTTACCCTTAACCGGATTTGGAATCCCATACTGGAAGATGCTAAAGTAGCAACAGTGCAATGCAATGTTACGTCACTAACAGGTAATAAAACTTCGGCCAATAGCAAGGCATCAACAAGAGAGGCAGACTACCCTGAGTCAACATAAATACAACCTACAACTGTTGTGGAATTGGCCGCGGTGGTAGTTCGCCCGACTCCCGATCGGAAGGTCGTGGGTTCGATTCCTGCCTCGACCAGATATTTTTCTCGATAGAATTTATCTGGTTGAAGCTGGGATGATTCTGCAACCGTGTTAGGAATCACACGTTAAAAGGTAAGACCTCCTTAGTCCTTAGCTCGCACAAGTTTGTCAACTTCTGAGAGTTGTCGTTGGTATGGGGGCGACAGCAGATTAACGGAAAAACAGATTTAAAAAAAGGATTTTAAACAGAAATCAGCAGTCATCGGTGAATCATCAAGATCAGGGGTCTCCAAACTTTGAAGTCTTCGGGCCATAATGATTTTTTCAGTTTGTTCCAAGGGCCAATTTCTGCCCTTAACTATATTTCTAGACTAGGATAGTCGCAAAGTGCGTGACCTAAGCAAACTTACGCTTTTTTTNTCCTTTTGATTCTGACATTGAAACCCTGGCTCCGGAAGTCCAAATGGAAATTATTGATTTACGGTGCAGTGATATGCTTAAGAACAAATATCAAAATTCATCTTTGTTGGAATTTTATAAGAGTCTTCCACTGGAACAATTTGATAATTTGCATAAATTTGCTCGTGGGTTGTTTTCTGTTTTTGGTACTACTTACTTGTGTGAGAAAACGTTTTCCAAGATGAAGTACACAATGAATGTTTACAGATCTCAATTAACCGATGAGCATCTTAAATCTCTTTTGATAATTGGTACAAGTAAAATTGATCCACAACTACAAAGTATTGTCGGTGCAAGTAAATAAAACCGAGTAATTATCATTCTGTGTTTTCTTCTTCAACTTTCACAGCAATAGTAACAACAATTAGGTAATCATTGGCTGTCGCGGGCCAGATTGATGACAGTAAATCATTGGCTGTCGCGGGCCGGATTGATGACACTGCCGTTCCGGATTTGGCCGCGGGCCGTAGTTTGGAAACCCCTGATCAAGATGAATAAACCTCTGAAGAAGCTAGCGAATCTATGAAGAAGCTAGCGAGTCGTGCTGGCGAAACGCTAGGATGCAGTTCCAAACTACGACGGCCTTCAAACCCGAATGAAGATAGTAACAATGACAAACTCAACAAATAACAATGGAAATCATTTTCGGAGTTTGTGAAGGTTAACAACAGATTTTTCTTACACATACAAAGAGGAAAAATTATATCTAAACAGCTATTTCCTCCTACAGTGATTGAGTTATACAGACAAAACTTTTTTTTAGTTTAAACATATTCATTTATAGCATTCATAAGAAACATTACACAGCATAATATATAAACTGTAAAAAAATAATTATATTCTAAAATTAAAATATTTCACTCACCATTGGTTTATCTGCTAAATCTGGAAGTTTGGGTGTTTTTAGCTTCATACATCTTCTCAAACCAGAATAACAATATCTGGAATTTCCTCTAGTGCCCAATCTCCTAGCACGTACTTTTGGATAGACCTGCTTCATTACTTTTCCAAAATCTGCTTGTGACAGTGGTTTGATGGTGTTTGTCACACAGTAGTTACTGAAATGAACATTGCTGATTGAAGAGATGTATTCGTTTAAAACGGAAACCTAGTCTGAGAATAGTTCAATAGCAAGTATACGACATTTTGAAAAAATGTAGTAAAACCAAAGACACTAATAGCATTAAGTCACATTTCCACCAAACGGACAAAACCACTACAAAACAGCAACTGTGGCGATGTCAACAAAACAAAAACTTAAGTTGTCAAAGTAGAAAACATTTTGAAAACTTTGTGTCGCGGGCGAATATTTTTTCAACAACGAAATGTCCCGTCGGCAGGCGGAAAGATCAAAAGGTTTCGGTGTTTTGTTTGTGTTTTTGTAAACGGTCGGCGACAACAAAACAGATATGACAGTGTCACTCTTTATTAGCGAATAAAGCTCTTCATAGTATAGTCAGTCACTTATGAAATACAAAACAAAAAATATAAAAATAGAATCAAGTCACATTGTAAAAACAAGAAACAAGAAAATAAGTCAAATTATTGATGACTACCACTTGAAATATATTCAATACATTTTCTTTTGAATGAATTTAATGAATCCCAGCTTTTTATATGACTAGGCAAATTATTTAATGCAATCAGACCAGAACTACACAAAGAGTCGCAACCTACATGCTCTCTGTTGGTATAAAAATTTCCTATTCTTTTTCTAGTGGAGTGTGTATAAATACTACTTGTGTAGTATAACATCTGTAATTTGTATTCTGTTTGTAAATTTTTGGCTCCAGTATTTTCAACAGGCTCTCAAATTCGTGATTGGACATTCTTAGGAAATTACGAAACGATGATTTCAGTTTCATTAAGCAGAAGAGCTTAGACCCGCTGTATGTGATATGAGATAAGAGGTTTCTTTTTAGAACTGTCCATACGGTTTTTAAGCAGACTTCCAGCTGCAGTGCAATCTTCCTGGTACTATTTGAAGGATCGTCTTCTATCGCATCAAGTATAACTTTTTCTTAACAACACCATCACTGTCAGCTGGTTTCCAAAGCAGGTGTTCATGATATGCAAAGTGACTTCAATTTTTTTCTCGAATAGTATAAAAAAATAAAAATCCACAAAAAGTCAGTGTGGTACGTTTTTTAACAATATTGTTGGCTATGGTGTCAACTGAGACTGCACTACCTAATAATATCAATCTAGTTAGGGCTAAATAAGCGCCTTATTACTTCAAATAACTGTAGCAAATATCAATCAAATCGGTGTACAGATATTTTTGATATTCCATATATACCGTTTTTTTAAACTTCACCGCCCTGTATCTCAGGGAAACACCCTATGTAATGAAAAAGAAAATAATTAATGAGTCAAAAAAAAAAATAAAAAAACACCTAAATTTTATTGATAGAAGCAAAAGAAATTCTAATAAAAAAGTGATAACAAAAACTACGAAAACTTCACCACAGGCATCAACTGCCTAATATCAATCGTTCAAACATTAATTGAATCAGTTTTCCTTCACAATCACATTAGACAAAAAAAAACATAACACCATAAAATACTGTTTGATTCAACAGGTCAAACAAACATAAAAAAGTCAATATAAAATATAAAACATATATAAAAAAAGTTAATAAGCTACAATCAAATTAGGATTCACGGAGAAACTCATCCACAGAGTAGTATGCTTTTTGTAATAGAAAAATCTTGAGTCATCTTTCAAAGACATTCATATTTGAGGATTTAATGTCCTCACTAAGCTTATTATGTCACTTAACCCAAATGCACGTGGGGTGATTCTTTGATATCGGCAATTTACTATAAGGTTGATGTAGTTGAGAGTTATTTCTGATGAAATGTTCATGGATTTGCTCATTTTTAGGAATAACTGAAATATTGTTTTATATACAGTGCGAGTCTCTAACATGGAACAAATTCACTAAATCAAAGGTGTTGTTTCTTTCGGAAATATGCTTGGGCACGTTGATTAGTATTTCAAAGTGCCCTTATTTTTATGGAAAAAAAACTATACAGTGTGTCTCAAATATGAGATATGACTTCATCGATAATTTTTTTAAATGTCAACCCTGTTTTTTTAATGACTTTTATTAAAGGGTTCAACAAGTTGCACATGCCTGCCAAATTTAAATTTTTTACACCTTGTCCTTTAAAATATATTTGACAAATATTATCTAATTCAAAAAATGAATTCAACTCAATAGTCTTCCTTCAATAAATGCTCAGAATGTCAGGGATACCTGACAGTGACATTGTCATAAAAAGTTATCAAAAAAAAGTAAGGAAAGTAGTATCGCATTCCAATCAAATTTGTGCACAAAAACTGTTAGTCGTTTCAGTTTGTTGTTCGCCATAAGTAAAATGCCGTACTTAACTGAATAACAATCCTCCAGGAACTCACCGGAGATGATCCAGATAGAAGACTTCATTTTTGCGAACAAATGATGGATCTACTAGACAGGAATTTTGTACAAAAAGAAAACGTTCTATTTTCTGACGAATCAACGTTTATGTTGAATGGTGTGGTAAATCGTCAAATTTGTCGTTATTGGGCAGACAGAAACCCACACTGGATGAGCGAAGGCCACACTCAACATCCAGAAAAAGTCAATGCTTGAGCAGGGATTGTTGGTGATCGAGTTATAGGACCGATTTTCTTTCAAGAAAATCTTACTGGAGCAAGATATTTAGAATTCTTGCAGGAGGACCTAGTTCCGAATTTGGCTATTTTGTTCCCTTATCCTATAGAAGCTGACGTCCCGAATAGAAACATCTGGTTTCAACAGGACGGCGCGCCTCCTCATTTTGCAAGACCTGTCCGTGAGTACCTGAATGATGTATTTCCAGGCAGATGGATTGGCAGAAGAGGACCCTATGAATGGCCACCTAGGTCTCCGGATTTAACACCTTTTGACTTTTTCTTATGACGTTACTTGAAGAGCAAAGTTTTTAAGACCAAACCGGCAAATATTGAGGATTTAAAAGAACGAATAAGACAGGAGTGTAGGCTAATTTCCGGCGAAATAATCAGAAATGTTCAAAACGAGTTTTGTTACGTTAAGGGTATTGTCAGTTAGTAAATGGACAACATTTTGAACACTCGTTAAAGAAAGACTATTGAATTGAATTCATTTTTTGAATTAGATAATGTTTGTTGAATGTCTTTTAAAGGACAAGGAGTAAAAAATTGAAATTTGGCAGGCATGTGCAACTTGTTGAACTCTTTAATAAAAGTCATTTAAAAAAATCATCGATGACGTCATATCTCATATTTGAGACATACTGTATAATTTTTTTTGCATCAAAATAAAGGAAATTGAAAATACTAATCGACGTGTTCGAGCATATTTCCGAAAGAAACAACACCTTTGATTTAGTTAATTTGTTCAATGTTAGAGAATCGCACTGTATATTTTAATATTATTATAAGTCACAAAAAGGATTTGAAGCTCTTTATCTTTTATTTAATTATATGCGAGCGCTTTCGACAGGTGGTCGTGCTGTCATCCTCTAGGCTAGGTGTGTGTGTGTTTGGTAGATATACAAACTAGGCATAGGTAATAAACTATAACGAATGAAAATGGCCTGCAGTGTTCACTTGAAGATGCACCAGCCAGAATTCTGATTACCGTTTTCTGAATAACAAAACTTCATCATCTTTAGCTGATAAGCTCCACTGTTCAAGACCATAGGAAATTACTGACTGAATTAAACTGTGGTATAAAAGCTTGAGAACATCAAGAGAGACTGTTTGTTTGTATAAAAAATAATGACAGTGATGACAGTGTGAGAAAAATAACAGAACGTTCAATAATTCCTGATAATCAGTTATTATATTTGTTTATAATGTATGAATGAAATAGGAAGCAGTATATGTTCAGTAAATAACAGGATTTTTTTTAGAGAAAAATATTTATTAATTCATTAACATTGTCGCCTTCAAAATTGTCGCCCATTAGATATTATGATTTTTGTGCCAGCGTTTTTCCAATCCTCGAAACAGTTTTAATGTCACAATGCTTGTGAAAGGGCGGCCCTTTGAGGTTCTCTTTATTTTGAAAATAGGTCTCTTTACTATTGAATATAGGAAAAAGTCACACGGCGCCAAGACTGGCGAATACGGAGGCTAGGGCTTTGTTACAGTATTGTTTTGGGCCAAAAATTCAACAAGCAATGAAGTGTGAATAGGTGCATTCTCGTGGTGCAAATGGCATACATTGTTTTTCCACAAAAATATAAAACTTGATGAACCATTTCAATCTTCTTTCTTCATTGTTTGAAAAAGTATTTAATCTCGTTGAATTTCAAATAGCGTAATCCCCAAATAACGATTTCATTCAAATGGTATCAAAACTATTTTCTATGTTTTTATGCTTGACGTTTTGTCTACAACTGCGGCAGATATCATGGAAGGCGATGAGGCAACAAGCGAAATGGTCTACTTCTTCTCACAGCATATACTACAACTAGAGGACAATTAAAGTACTTCGTCAGTTATCTCATCACCGTTGTAAACGAAACACTGAACATGAAAAATTGCAGATCACGGCCAATGAACCTAGAAAATAGTTTCGACACAGTCGTTAAAATTACTCTTTTTATTAAAATTATTACTATAGCCTCATTTACCAGAACTTCAATCTACCTTCATCTATTGTGCGTCAAAATAGGAAAAACAAAGGTCAAGTATGCCCTTGACATCGATGGTATCTCGAAAATAATCATATATGAATAAATTCATAACAGAAAGGCATGTAGTCATTTTAAGTGTGGGTAAAAAGTACATTGTTCAAAGAGCAAGGCATGTAGCCATTACTCGTGAGGATGAAGTTTGTCGAAGAGATCTGAAGGCCAGTAGTGTACTATACTTTTTCTATGACTTACAACAGGAATATTTCAGAATAAGATTTAGTTGAGAAGGTTACCCTGAATGAGAGTTTGATTAAAAATGTGTTTTCTGTTAACCAGCTGTCACCCCTCAGTAGTAGAAACTTGTGCGAGCTAAGGATCAACGAGATCTTATCTTTTAACGTAC